CATTGGCATCGAGAAGAAAAACAAACGACGTTGTCGTCGTACTCGTCGAAACACGCCCAAGAACCCGTTTGACAAACAGCACTCCGAATTTTGCCACTCATTTGACCTGCATTTGTTACAAGACACAAAAGTCCCATCGCTTTTGCAAGATCTTTGATTGATTCTGTTTTTCCTGTTCCCGTTGGCCCCACGGCTGCACAGCCGAGAAACATTGATAAAGCCTAAAATCGATGAGAACAACGAGTAGAAAAAAGATCATCTTATTGAAAATGACTTGGGTGATCGTCAAATAAATTCGATCGGTCAATGGTGTGATCACTAAACGACCATTGAGACCCATGTATTCGTAACCTAAACAGGTTTTCATCGTCTTTAATTCCTTCTCATCATGATCAAACCATATGGAAATTGTCCGTCACATTGTTTGAGAAAAAGATCGTCGTCATCCATCAACCAGTAAAATCTCAATTGTGATTGCCACGCACTACAAGAAGAAGAAGACGAACAGGTCGATGTTTAGTTCATTGAATGACATTTACAAATCATCAGCAGATTGAATTCCATCTCGAATAAGATTTTCCACAATGTCACGCGTATGAACGTCAATCGTTAAAATCATTTGGAACTTTTTCGATGAATCGTTCGATCGTCGCATTTCGAAAACGAGTTCATCGATTTCATTGTTCAACTGTTCGCCATAGCTTTTCATTGCCGATTTTTCTTCCTGTTTCGTCATTTTATCGAATTGACTACGAAGAAAAGACAAACAAAAAACGAATCGATGGAGAAAATTTACTCTTCGATGAACCACGTTGACCAAACTTGATGAACAACGATAACGATCATTCCGATGTTTTTTCTCATCGAATCGATTCGAGTTTGATGAAAACGATACGAATAAATCGCTTCTTTGATTAACAATCGATGCGATCGTTTCATTTCATTTTCGATGTTTAAAATCGCTAATTCCATTGGATTTTGACATTGTTGATGAAGAAGAAAATTCATTTGTTCATTTTCAAACGAAATCATGCCACAAACGACGAACGTTTCGGAACGTTGTTGAAAATCGAGTGACGAAATATTTTGAAAGATTTTCGGTAAAAAGAATTGAATTTCAGTTGGATTTGTCGAGCCGAGAAGCGATAAAAGTTCGTCATCCGATAAAAAATCCAGTCGAGGACAAATGTGACGTTTACTTTCGAGAAATTCGTGTAAATTCTTTTGAATTTGTTCGATTGACGTTAAAATCGTTTTGAATTCGTCGTAACGACCCGGATGAAGACACGATCGTTTCACTTGAGGATTTCTCGACGTTTCTATTGGTGAAATAAACGGGTCGTATCGACATTGAACTCAACTGTCTGAAAGTCGTCTCACCCGAGAGAATTTTTCGATAGAATTTTTCGACGAATTCGAATCGTTTCGCTTCGTCTGTCAACTGAAGATTCGATCCATTGAAAATCGTCGAAAGATAAATCCATTTTTGTTCAACAACGATCAACAATTTCAACA